GACTGATTCATTTTGCACTGTAAAGGCAATATTTGTTGTCATTTATTTGTAAACATATGTTTTAAATTTGAATTGCAGACTAGGTTACCCATTGTGACAGCTGCATTACATTACGTTGGAATTTAACATCCAAATAGCATATTTGGATAAATCGAGATGAGACCTTCCTTGAGGTTTTTTTCCGTCATGATGGATGTTCACATCAATCAACATGAAAGATCTGAATGTGTAATATATGGATATGTAGTCACTAGCTTTGTAATGCACTACCCTAAATCACTCTAAATCTTGCCAAATTCATGTGCATTGTTTTATTGCAACACAACACAATTCAGAACAAGGTTTTTGAACACTGAAAGCTACGCTTGGCTTGTGACCGGATCTTAAAGACGCACTGCGTTGAATTGTCTTCTCTCAGTGGAAGGATGTACAGAAACACTTGTGGAATTTATTTCTTTTTCCCCCAGACCTGAAGCAGGGGGCTCCCGAGTGGCGCAACCGTCTAAGCGTTGGCCCTATCATCAGGAGATCGCGAGTTCGATCTCTGGTGATGCTGCAGCCATCCGTGGCCAGGGGTTTTAGAGAGCACAATTGGCCTCGCTCTCTGGGTGGGTAGGATGGCCCCCCTCCTCCTGCCATCACTCAACGCGATGCTAGTCAGTGCAGGCATCTGTTAGCTGACGTAACAGATCTGGCGGTTGGTGCTTACCTCTGAGCACGTTCGTCTGTCCTATGACGTTGCGTGAGCGGCAGTTCCAGAAGTTGCGGTGGTTGGCTTCACAGGTCTCGGAGGAAACCTAGCTAGCCTTCGCCCCCCCTAGCGTTGATAGTATCGGGTGATTGGGGGAGTCCTAATTAGCGGGGGTGGAATTGGAGACGACTAAATTGGGGAGAAAATTGGGTCTAAAAGATCTGAAGCGGGAGTGGTTTTGTCTCTCAAAAAAGGCAAATTTTTCTGTATCTTGCTTATAATTGAAAGTTTATTTCTAACTCCAGTTTGAAAACCCCAGTTTTTTTCCCCACTTATTTTCCTTTGATGTTCCCCCCTGCTTATGAAAATAGATTATCTTATATCTGGTTTCCTTCAAAGTATATTATTTAGCCATTTTAGATACACTTGAAAAAGAAATTGGCAAAGCTGCTAAGATGTGTTTGGATAGTTTCTTTTGTGAATGTTAGTGTCTCTTTGAAGAGGAATATAATGTCAGTGACACCTTTGAGAACAGCTTTTTTTGTGAGGCCACTAATCCGTTTGTTTTAAGATTGGAAGGATGGGAGAATTAAAGTGGTTGTAGGGTGCACAAAAGTAAAGAGTAGATAAATGAATATATGTATATAATCAGTGACTTGTACTTAATGGCCGTTTTGACTGGAAATTGAACAAAGAAATGAGTGGTTTCTGTCCTTTGTGCAGTACTGTAGAGGGAACATTTTGCGTACAAAGCTCAATATTATATTGCTTGCGTTATTTGAGAAGGATGGGACATGAATCTTTTTGCAAGTGTCCATGTTTGGAAACAGGAGCTTTCTATCTTCATTTTGACCGTCCAATGCTATCTTAAGAGTTGATTTGATTGCCGAGATGATTCACTTTTCACTATACACAAGATGTTTTATAGTCCAAAATTTGTACGGTTCTGCCCTTTCGTACTACACAGTCTGTTAGTGAATCAGCTAGCACGATGGTCAAAATGCAATTGCCACTGTGATAATCAACACGGAAAAAATGAAAAAAGGAACGCTTATAACTGTCCAGTCTAGTCTATCTAACTTATGCACCATAAAATATTTGTAATATAGGCTAATAAGGGATTTTGCACAGACCTTTTTGATTAACTAGAGATAACTAATCAAACAAGATTACTGTGTTTGTCAGTGCATAAATGTCTTACATTCAGCTAGAATTTATGGATAGTTTATTGCAGAACTCTCCAACCCTGGTCCCTTCTACAACTGCAGAGTTTAGTTTCAACCGCTATCCAGTACATTACCCTGCCTCTTATTTATCTGCAATACATCTGATCCAGCCATTCAGGGACTTGGAAAGATTATGTTCTAAAAATGAGATGTCACTCAAGTCCATATGTGTGTGAGGGCAGAGGAACAAATACTTTTGGCAATATAGTGTATGTCAGTTTCCACATTATGGGAAGAAGTACACAAATGCCATTGTTGTTTGTATGTAGTTATTGTTTTTATGTCTTCTATGAGCAAGTATGTTTGTGTGATTTTGCTGAAAGTACCTGGAAATCTAAGAAAATTCTTTTGAAATCAGCTGTAAAGGAAATATACAAGAACCAGGTACATAAACTAGACCGATAAATAACTGTAAAGCAAAGAAACATCACCTCCATTGTAGTAATAAATATTCTGTTTCAGTCTGTTGAATGAGACTTACACTGTTGCCTCCGTGATGCTTTCACAGGTCTGCTGGAGTGGAGCAGCTTATGTACATTAAGGAAGATTTGATCATCCCACATGTAAGTGGAGCCAGACAACAGAGTACAATTATCTGGACCTAAAGTGTGTGTATTTTATGTTCGCTGGCTTTCTATTATTGTATCATTTTCACAGATATTGTGGGCTGTTTTATCCAAAAACACAGAGACCCAAAAAATCTTATAAAGAATAGTACACAAGACATTTTTGCTATACTTTTCAGTATGAATGATTTAACATTCACAGATTAGTTTATTCTGGAACATTACATATGCTGTGCAAACTAATCTACCATCTAGAAAAGAAGGTTTACTGAAAGATCTTGTGCTGTATCAGCCTTTACTACTCTAACTATAAAACCTGTTTTTCTTCCAGCACCACAGCTTCTATGACTTCATTGTGACAAAAGCTAGAGGCAAGAGTGGTAAGCATCTAATTATTATCATTATTATTATTATAATTTTTTTTTTCTGATAGGGTTGTTCTGCCCAGAAATATTGCAGTTTTTTTGTGCATATTAGTTTAGAGTTGCCAATTCTTTGCTCATACTTGCATGTGCAGTAAACATAGCCCTCAGTTTCACTCATATGTCAAATAGAAACTCCAGAGTCTGAACTATAGCTCATTTAATTATATTGTATTATCTTGACATAATTCGAGTAGCTAACATCCAAGATGAACGTGTGTTTCCTATCCCAGGACCGCTCTTCAGTTTTGATGTTCATGACGATATTCGTTTGGTGAACGATGCGACCGTTGAGAAGGATGAGGTAAAGGCGTACTAATGTTCATTATCATAAAATGTTCGTTATTTGGGTAGAGAAGTTTACCCAAAACTTTCAGTTCAGAGTTTTAATTTCTGTTTTTGGTGTGGGTTGCTGTCTCCAGTCACATGCAGGTAAAGTGGTTTTGAGGAGCTGGTATGAAAAAAACAAACACATCTTTCCTGCGAGTCGCTGGGAGCCTTATGATCCTGAAAAGAAATGGGACAAATACACTGTGAGTACCTTTAAGCTTGAAATGCTTCTTTAGTATTCAGGCTGATTGCAAAATTTTAAACTACATTTAGGTTTAATATGCATTGTTCTTTGCTCTTTTTAAATGGTGAATACATTGGACAAGATGCGTCTGAAACATGCTTATGCAAAATTGCTGTTTCTACAAATTTAAAGACTAATATAAACAAATAAATACAGTTATGTACACAAGTTTAAATACAGTCAAATTACATGTTTTGCTGGTTTTCTAAATGAAAATAATTTAACACATCCTCTACAGGGAAAAAACTTAAATATGTAATTTTTCTGCATAGTTTGGTGCACAGTTTCTATTTTTTAAACATATTGAAAAAAGAAAAGAGACAATATAAAATGTACACTTGCACAGGAGGCCACATCTTAATATTATGTTAATATTTAATATTTAATGTTAAATTCAGCGAATAAACAGTGTATTGTGTATTAAAATGTGCAGAAATGTGTTATTTGAGGAGGTTTGTACTTATTTTTCACTTCACACAAAATATAATTTGAACTGGGGCACCCAGACTTTTGCATACAACTCTATATTAAATAGTGAGTATTAGGATGGAGTCAGTGCTGAAGTATTCGTAATGAGATGCTTTGTGTTTTTCAAAATTGTTTCAAGTAATAACTGGTTGTACCAGCACTGTTGATTTAGTTTGGACTATGCTCACTAAATTAAACTGTTTGTTTTTTCCTCCTTTTTAGATCCGGTGAGTTGGCTGTCTGTGTCCATGAAGAGTACGGATTTTATACATATATTGCTAAAGTTTGTGTATAGTGGCATTTTATTTTTGACCGGAAGCAGTCAAAAACATGATTTCTCCTTTTTTTAGCCTTTGTAAATTGATAATAAGGGTGTTCTGAAATATTACTGCATTCACTGGGAATCTGTGAAATTAATTTTGCATTACACTGTTGAGTCTCACCGGTCACATGTCTGATAAAGTTAAATGTTAGAACAAATGTTGCCATCTGATTATGGGAATAACCTCTCTGTAAGATGTACAATTTTGGATGTAAATATAGCTAAGAATGCTTGTAGAATGTGTTCATTACTATCTCACTTCTTGCATCTTTGTCATAAATAAATCATTTTTTGTGTACATTTTTGCCATTTGTATCTTTTGACAGTGATGAAGTTCTGCATCACTCCTGCCTTAGTTTGATTGCTCATGGTTCTATTTGAGCTTTATTTAAGGTTCATTGTCAAATCTTGATTCCTAAAAGAAAGCAAGCAAAAAGAAAACCTTGTTTTTGCCCCTGTTCTTCTTAACAATAAGGGTTGAAATGAGGAAATACTGTACCACAACTGCGGGTTCTTATAAGTAGTTTGAGATACTGGAGTTTAGTTTTGGCCTGCTCACTAGGAATATTCTAGTGTTCTAGAAGCTGTGTGTGAAGTGTTTGTGGTTCTCAATTTTAGGTTCCAAGTCGGCAAAAGTGCATATTCAGTCCCCTTGGAAGGAGCAAGTGAATTGCGTAGCTGCTTGTTTAACAAGAAATACCCGGACTGACTGGCAACTACAGCAAACACCTACTGCCTCAGGCCACCACTCCTTCAACCTCTTTCGTTTTTTCCTCCATTATTCTCTCTCTGTCACTCTCTCTCCATTGGTTTTGCCTTCCCCCCTTTTGCATTCTTAGCCTCTGCCTTCTGTTTTTATTCTGAAACACCTCCTCAGTCCTAACAGATGGCGAAGTGTGCAAGGATAGGGAAATATGTATAGAGACAGGCTGGCTTTAGTTTCCTTCCTGGTCAGCGTGTTCGTGGGAGCCCAGGGGGCCAAGACGTCTTTCAGACCTCGCAACTGCACGCTGCAGTGCGTTCACCAGGTGAGCTGCCTCTTTCGAACCTGAAATCACCTTACCAATAGCATTTAAACAACAAAGGTGTGACTGATTCTTCTTGGAACTATATGGATTTACTCTTTTGTCTTAATTGTGCTGTAACTGTATCAATAGTAGTGTTACAGGGAAAAGAGCTTCTTAGTGGTAGATATAATTTCACGATAGAGTGGTGGAGCCAGCTCATTGCTTTTGCTTTTGTGTAAGCTGTTACAGGAAATGTACTAACCATACACATATGTGATAAACGGTATTTTAAGGCAAAATGTTACAGTAAGTAGAGTAAAGATGTGTCTTTAGAAGCAGTTGTCCCATTTCTGCTATTCAGAGTAAGATTAGCAAAAGTATTAAAATATGCAGGCTTCCGTCTGTGTGCAAATATTAGATTGGAGCGTGTAATATCCAATCATTTCTCCCCCTCAATGTTTCCATATGTGTTTATGTAAACAAAGTGTTATAAAAAGAAATTATATATTAATAATAAGTCACTTTCATTTTTACAGTCTTCACCAGTCACCAGTTCTCTTTTAGGTAAACAGGAGCCTACAGTGTCTCTCTCTGTACCAACTATAACATTATAACAAAAAAATAAAAAAAAACAATTTAAGGATTTCTCATAGAACCTCTACCTTTTAAGGAGGTTCTTAACTTTAGAAAGATTCTTTGTACTCATATATCTCTTTTACAAAAAGTTGGCTCTTCAAAAGAACCAAATATTGAAAGTTTTTATAGCCAACCAGAAGTTGTTCTTCCATGGCATTGTGCAAAGAATCCTTTAAAGCACCTTTTGTGGCACCTCCAAAGTCTGTGCTTTCTGAATATTTTTGTGCCCAGTTTTATTACATTGACAACAACTGGATGCTGTGCAATTGGTCACATCTCTCACTTTTGAGGCTTTGCATTTAATTTTCCCAAAATTAAAAAAATAATGCAAGTTTCAGTTCCTCTACTGGTAGATGCTGGACATACTACGTTGTTCTGCTGCAGTTGTACACGATACTTAGTCCTTAAGTTGTTTTTTGACCTTATACTAAAAACTTATAAGTTTTTTGGAAAGGTACTTTTACTTATTGCTTGAGTCATTATTTTACAGAAGAACAATACTTTAACAGTCACACTTTATTTTGATAGTGCCATATAGATTGTCTACATGTGCTGAATTGTATTAATAAACTAGCTGATGAAGCTCAGTTGATTATGTACAACATTAGGGTTTAGTTTAAGTTTGGATTAGGCTAAAGGTTTGAGTTGAAGTAAAGATTAGGTTTAGTTAGGTTTAGGTTTATGGTTACATTTAGTAGAATCTATTACATTCAACAAAGTTCTGTTGAATTTAATAAATATTTAGTTGAATGTTAAATACAAGTTGAGCATCTACAAAGCTGCTAAGGTAGACTAATAAAGTTTCAAAATAAAGTGTTATCACTTTTACTTGAGTATGAGTTTGGACCCATCATTTATCAAAAATAATAATCTTTTTTGTAAACAATAGACATTCCAGCTGAATATGTGAAATTATTATGCTGGGACAGAACTCAAAATCTTGACAGGGAAAGAGTCTTGATGTTTAGTTCTTGCACAGAATAGATCAATGATGAAGTCACTTTGGTGCTATGGTTCACTTGTACCATTTGTTGGTGATTAATGCTTTGCTTTTATTCAGGAGAAATATATGGCACTTTGCCCTGTGGCACTACATGCAGCTCCAACTTAATAGCCTACCACTGAGCAAGCAGATGACAATGACCAATATCAATGACTGCTGATCTATTTGAAAAGATAACAGCTAAATTTCATCCTATGTGTCTGCATATATTTAAATATGACTCAGATATAGTCCTGTTTATTTCTAGGGAACTCCAGGATGTGAGTATTGCAGGATCAGTAAAGAGGATGTCCAATCTACACTTGGTTTCACCTCCGCTGGCCTCTTTGGAGGTAACTTCACACTGGGTTGTTCTCAGCTATATTGCACAGGCTGGCCTACCAGCTAGTCTGCACAAAATCTTCCTACAACACCGTTTCAAAAAAGATGGGACACTGTGAAACATGTAAATAAAAACAGAAAGCAATGATGTGCAAATCATTTATACCCTATGTTTAATTGAAAGTAGCACAAGGACAATATATTGAAACTGTGAAATTGTATTTTTTATTTTTTTTTTTATATATGCCTGTTTTGAATTTGATGCCAGCAACATGTTTAAAAAAAGCTGGGACAGGGGCATGTTTACCACTGTGTTGCATCACATCTTATTTTATCAACACTCTGTAAGTGTTTAGGAGTGAAATGTTTGAAAGTGAAATATTTCCCCATTCTTGCTTGATATAGGATTTCAGCTGCTCAACAGTTCGGGGTCTCCTTTGTCATCGTTTTTATTCCATAAGACTGCAGGCAGGCCAGTTTAGCACCCAGACTCATTTACTCTGGAGGCATGGTATTGTGCAGAATGTGGTTTGACATGTCTTGCTGAAATAAGCCTTCCCTGAAAAAGACATCTGGATGGCAGCATTTGTTGCTCCAAAACCTGTATGTATCATCCAGCATAAATGGTGCCTTCATATATGTGCAAGGAGGACGTTGCATCCATGATTTTCAAAAAGTTTTGATTTGTTGGCCCACAGGACACTTTTCCACATCGCTTCAGGCCATCTTAAATGAACTCAGGCCAGAGAAGGCGGCGGCATTTCCGGATCCTGTTTATATCTGGTTTCTTCTTTGCATGGTAGAGGTTTTGGGAGAACTTTTTTTTGTGGATGCAGCAAAAAACCGTGTTCACAGACAACACAGAAGTGTTCCTAAGCTTAGAATGCTCTGGATTCTCTGAATCTTTTAATGATATTATGTACTATGGATGCTGAAATCCTCAAGTTCTTTGCTATTTAAGAGTATTCTTGAATTGTTGCACATTTGTTATTTGCCCGTACAGTCTTTCACAGATTGGTGAACCCCTCCCCATCTTTACTTCTGAAAGACTCAATGTCTCTGAGATGCTCTTTTTATATTCAATCATGTTATTGACCTGTTGCCAATTAATCTAATTAGTTATGAGATGTTCCACCAGGTGTTTTTTGGCAACTTTTCTTTTGCTGCCCCTGTCCCAATATTTTTTTTATTGTATTGCTGGTATCAAATTCGAAATGGGCATTTTTTATCAAAAAACAATGAAACATTCTTAGTTTCAACATTTGATATGTTGTTGTTGTACTATTTTCAGTTAAATATAGCGTTTACATGATTTGCACATCATTGCATTCTGTTTTTATTTACATTTTGCGCAGCGTCCCAACATAATATAACATAAATATACATATGCACAGTTTAAAGCCTTATTAAAAACTGCCGTAATTTGTCATGTGTAAATATTTACCTGCATTCTAACACAATAACCTCTCTCACAGTGCTGTTTATTGAAAGTTTTATAAATTCTGCAGGGCATCGTAAGGCAAAATAGTTCCAAAATAAAACTTTTTTTTTTTTTTTTCATTTTCAGATTTACCACTACTTTACTATTATCAACATATAAAAGCTCAGAGGATACAGGTAGATGCACTGATGGTTTTGGATAGTATCACCTACTTTCTATCACCAGCTTTCTCTGTAGTGCACCATTTAACATCAAACAAATCTGAATGAATAACATGATTGCATAATTGATGTAAATGATTGAATAATGCAGAATTTGCAGGAAAAATCAGTGGAATTTTGGTGCAAGCTAAATACTTTCAGAAGTTGATGGCATAGCATGATTTGATTTAAATGATGTCATAGTAACAGTATTTGGGCCATCATATAGTCCACTATAGATTATATAAAGATGCTTTAATTGTTAACACACTATCTGGTAAAACTCTGTTTGATAATCATGAGTGTTAGGTTTTTATTTTATTTATTTGTGAGAGCAGTAGAAAGTTAAATGATACACTGTGTAAGCCTGTAGAATGTACTAAGAAATCTAAGACGCACTAAGGAAGTACAAGAAAAAAAAAAAAAAAGCTTACTTACTTAATTATGTCAGTGTCGATGTTAATTTTTCCAAATCAATATCCATCACATATACCAGTGAAATTTCAGGTTTGTGACAGCAATTTCACTACAGTTGTATGCAAAGGTTTGAACACTCCTGGTCAAATTACATGTTTTATTGGTTTTCTGTGAAAAAAAGTTAACATCCTCTACAGGGAACAAACTTAAATATGGCATAGTTTTGCAAAATGTAGTGCAGAGTTTAGTGTAGAGTTTACACTGGAAAAAAATAAAATGTAATATGTAAAATGTGCCATAACTTTTTGCACAGGACATCTTTTATGTGATGCTATGTTTTGTGTTTATGTTATGTTAAATACAGCAAATAAACAGTGATTTATGCATTAAATGTGCATAAGTGTGTAGTTATTTCACTTCGAAAATCAGCAAAGCATAATTTGACCAGAGGTGCCCAGACTTAAACTAATTATGCTGACTAAAACCACAGGGAAAGGGAAATGTGTTGTCACTGTCCAGCAGTTATTTAACACAATTAAATATACATGAAATCCTTCATATTTGCACACAGCCTACAGTACTGACTTTTTGTGCTGGGCTAGGCTGTGTGCCATGGCCATGTCCATCTTTTTTAGGGCAACAGACCCCTGAGATCTGCCAGCACTACGTACATGCTCCGCAGAATGTGACTATCAAGTTTGTGGATGATCCGAGCTCTAAATATGATACTGTTGTTGTGTCCTGGAGCCCAAGCCAATATGGTAATAATAAAGAAAAAACAATTGCTACATTTTCCTTAATTTGCTTATTATAATTATGAAAAAATATTAGTATCATATATAATATTTCAAACTTTGCACAATATAATTTTCATTCATTGTTAATTATCATTAATTTATTACTAATGACAGTGTTAGGACAGTTACCTTTGAGGCCTTGGTGGACTATTGATGCCTTCCAGTCCTGTCGGAAATATCGAGACGAGTGCACGCCACCACAATGTCATAATTAAATTCCGAATTCAGATTTTTCTTCCAGTCCTGACTTTCCAAGTTTTGCCTCCAAAATGATATGGCTGTCACTGATAGTTTTGTAAATGTGTTGTTTTTCTGTAATTCAGCAGTCACAAGCATATAATTTAGAATTAAATATGTCTAACTGGATAAAACATTCTCATATAATTCTGTTAGAAAAACACAAATAAACAAAAAAAGATTTTTCCCTGTGCTCCATTTTGTTTCAGACCAAAACTATTTATACACCATATCACATCACACTGTACAATTTCTGAACATCTAAGTAGGAACATCCGAGGAGAACTTGAAGGCAGCATTTGTCACTCTTCATGTTGTGTTTATCAAAATTATTATTGTTAATTATGTTGCGTTTGTGTGGGCAGGTGACTTAGAGATTCTTTTAAAGACTATTTGTAATTGTTCATGTAGTTAATTATCTAATCCACTTTAATATTATTATTATTATTATTATTATTAGGGCAGTTGCCTTTGAGGTTCTCTTCAGAGTCTATTTTGTAATTGTTAATGTCAGTGCTCTATTTTTGAGGTACACTGTATGGCCAAAAGTATGTGGACACATGACCATCATACCTATATGAGCTTGTTGGACATCCCATTCCTAAACCATGGGCATTAATATGGAGTTGGTCCTCCTTTTGTGGTTATAACAGCCTCCACTCTTCTGGGAAGGCTTTCCACAAGATTTTGGAGTATGTCTTTGAGAATTTGTGCCCTTTCAGTTCAAAGAGAATTTGCGAAGTCAGCCACTGATGTTGGACAAGAAGACCTGGCTCAATGTTCTAATTCATTCCAAAGGTGTTCCATAATGTGGTCAGGGCTCTGTGCAGGCCACTGGAGTTCCTCCACACCAAACTTGTCAGGCCATATCTTTATGGACATTGCTTTGTTCACAGACATTGTGAAAGAGGAAAGGGCCTTCTTCAATTTTTGAAACATATAATGGTCTAAAATCTCTTTGTATGCTGTAGCACTAACTTTACCTTTCAGTGGAGCTAAGGGGCCTAGCCCCAAAACTGAAAAACAGATCCAGACCACCATACCTCCTCCACCAAACTTTTTACTGTTGGCACTATGCATTCCATTTGGAATGTGTAGTGCCAACTTTCTCCTGGCATCTGGCAAGCCCAGAGTCGTCCTTCAGACAAATGTGTGATTCATCACTCCAGAGAACATGTTTCCACTGTTCCAGTTGTGATGTGCTTTATACCACACCAGTCACCGCTTGGCATTATGCATAGTGATTTGTGAAGCTGCTTGGCCATTGATACCTATTTCATGAAGCTCCCGATGCTGAGTTCATGTGCTGATGTTGGTTCTAGAGGCAGTTTGAAAGTGGTAGTGACTGATGATACAGAGGATAGGTCATTTTATTTGGTACACAGTGGCTCAAAGTGCCATTTTGTGGCTCAGCTGTTGTTGCTCCTAGATGATTCCATTTCAAAATAATGCCATTTACAGGTGACTGGGGCAGATCTAGCAGGGCAGAATTTTCATGAACTGACATGTTAAAGGTGGCATCATTTGACAGTTTACAGTCACTTAGCTCTTCAGCACGGCCCATTCTACTGCCATTGTTTGTCTATGGAGATCAGCATGGCTAGATGTTTGATTTTATACACCCCATACCAACGACTGTGGCTGAAATACCTGAACACAGTAAGTAGGAGGGGTGTCCACATACTTTTGGCCATATAGTGTATGTATCTTTGTTGTCAATGTGCTGCAGGTGTTGCTTTCCTGCGAGGTTTCCAAGTTACCCTGCAGGCTTTGGGTGGCACTCAGATCTCCTGTCAGCTTTTCCTCATTCAAAACAATCTATCGCTCGCCGCTGCACATGTTCACAGGGTATGGCAATGTCTGACTTCATAACCCACCGCCCTCACTTTTATTAAGCACAGATGTCATTTGTTTTTACTTTAAATCATACTAGAGAAATACTTGATGGTTTACTAGTGCTACATTTTAAATTTTGAACAAAAACCTACAAATGAAGTAAACAGATTATTTTGTCATTTTTGTGTATAACAGTAAAGAAAGAATTGAAATGCACAAAACCAGTTTATTGAGGGGTACCCCCAACTAAAAGTATTAATTAATAAAAAAATTCAAGCAGAAGTTTGAGAGTGAACTTGTCTTTTTTCCCTTTTGTTTTTGAAGGTGTATTACTCAGATTCATTTTCACATCTCTCTCTGGGTACCCAGTATGCTGTGACTGTGATGGCCCTCCCTGTTCCCGAACTGTGGGACAAATTCTACCATAATGAGCTGTTCTTCACACGCAGTAAGTGTTCTCCTACATAAAAAAACACACACTTACTCACATCTGGTTAAACATTATGTCAGCCTCCAAATGATCCATCAGCCTTTAGCAGTGTCAGTATTGACAGAGGGTTACAGCACTGGACACATTCCACATTCATGAGAAAAACACATTCTTGTAGAGACTGCAGTAAATAAATCAGTCCAACCCAGTGAGTAATTTACTCATGTTTGTCTTTCCGCAGCATGCCCTGAGAAAAATGGCTTGGAGCATTGTAAAAAAGGTAAGTTGATCATGGTCAGTGTTTATACAAAGATTTAGATTGAACGTCAATACTCCTTATTTATGGACATTGTTGTTTTTAAAAGGCAATTATCATCATATTATGTCATGCCACTTTTCTGAGTATTTCACGGTATCGGTAACTCTTAAACACTGAACAACAGTAAGTATCATAAAAAGACTTTAGAGAGCCTGTAAACCACAACAATCAATGTGTAGTAACTGCTTAACTGATTGCATGATTGGATGCCAGACCATTTTATCATTATCATATTTTATGAATGTATTTTTACCAATTGTTTAATATTTTTTAATATCAAACAATTGGTAAAAATATTTTTTTAAATATTTCTTTATAACCTCGTTTAAATTAGCATTTTGTCCATTCCAACCACTTTGTTTGTGATGTTAGATTTATATAAAGAATAAAATGTTTATATATTATTATAAACTACAGTTCTAATGAAATATACGGTGTACTGTGGTGTTTAATTTTCCCTTGTACTTTCACAGACTGGTATCCCAGGCATGTTGAAGTCCACCAGGACAGCCAGGACATTGTTGTGACTTTTAACCTGGCACCTGAGAACCTGGGCATCAGTCGCTACTTTTCGGCATGCTTTGGAGGGGGCTCACGCAGCTATGAAATCATTCATCCAGTATAAATTTTCTTGCGTAGTGTTGACAGTCTTTTTGGGTTTCCTTGATAGCCAGAAAGCTAACGATTTCAGTGGTGAACATTGTTTACGTGTGTGAGCTATCATCAATATACTATTTCAAAAATGCCCTGAAACTGACAAGTGAGGTTTTTTGCTATTTCAGTTCCAAGATCCAAATATTTCTGTGGACATGACATGCAGGATGTAGTCTAACAAGCTATAACAGGATGTAATGAGTTGCACATTAAAGAACATCTTTGTTGTGGTTCTCTAGGATTTCAGTGTAAACAGTACTCATCACACTTACCGCTTGCTCAATCTCCATACAGGAACCAACTACACCTGTGAGGTGAGTCAGTCAATCAACAGTTCACATTCCTGACATAAACTGTTTTTTTAGCCTTAGTGGTTTTGTCTTTGGTGGAAATCTAGTAAGTGTATCGCAAAAATGGTATGATACTATAGCAAAGAGCTTGCATATGTCTCGGAGCACCTTATAATACTACTTATGCAGTTTTACACCCATCACTCATGGTTAGCTATGATTTAATAATTTAATAATTTAATTTAATAATAAGAGCAACTTCGTTGAGACAGCAGTAGCAAATTACACACTCGTTTTGTTTATTCATTAATGGGGATTTATGAAGTTTACAGCTTTGCCTCTTCTGTACATTTAAGGCTGTCACAACATGTTTTGGAATGACAAAACCTAACTAAGAGCCTAAATGCAGTTGTGAAACAGCATTAAATTTTCAACTTGCAAGCATGCAGACGTATGGTTGTTGATGTTGATAGAAATGAGGCAAAAATATCTTTTTTTTTCCTCACTCTAAACCTCAAGCTCAGGACAACTGTTGTAACTTTTCAATGTTAAACAAAGGAGCTAATCTGACAGGTTTCAAAAAATCTTATTTGGTAACCCAGAAAAAAAAAATTTTTGTAAAACTGCCAGCAGGAAATATTTCATACGGTTTAGTGTCTCTGGTCAAAAGTGGAATATCTCAGAACCAACTTTGTTACTCATCTCAAAAGAAAATATTTTATGTGATACACATATTTAATGTGTAAACAAAGTAATGTGATAATATGTTTGATAATGAGATACTGTTATGATTCAATTGCCTTTTAGATTGCAGCAGATATTGTGGACGCAGTAAGGAAAACGTTTTTTGTTCAAGTACGGTACAATTTAAAAGGTAATCTTCAGTTTTATTGATTCATTCTTCACTGAAATGATTATATTCTGCTTACACATTAATTAGATTAATTTTGACTGCTGTCAAAGCATTGTGATAAATTCATGTATATACACTCACTGGCAACTTTATTAGGGACACCTACCTTGCATCTACACTCACTGCTCATTTCATCAGGTTTACTAATTATCTACAGTACTGTGCAAAAGTCAGAGCCATCTTCATTAAATTTCCTGTGAAAATGATCATTAAGTACAGTTATTCATCAAATTATTCAAACTGAATTCAAGTCTCCAAGAAAGAATAGAAATTATAATAAAGGAAACCGGTGAACACACGAAATATTGAAATTTTAAAATTATATTTAGTTCTTGAGGTGTCTGTAAAATTTAAGTCCTGTTAAATATATGGTTTAATTTTTTTTCCTGATTATGAAAACTTGCTGAAAAACATGTGCTTAATGGCTGTTTTGACTGAAAACTAAATAAATGGAGGGTGGTATGTTAACTTTTTGACATGGTAATGCCAATGTTATTGCAGTGCTGAGAATAATCCACCACCCAAATAATACAGCAGTGCTGCTCAGTGGTGGTCCTATGGGGGTCCTGACCATTGATGAATTAGGGTAAAGGGGAGCTAACAAATTATACAAAGAAACAGATAGACTGCAATCTGTTACTACAAAATGCACCTATTTGGTAAGTGGATCTGATAAAATGGACAATAAGCATAGATACAAGGCAGATGTACCTAATAAAGTAGCCACTGATGTTATACAGAAATTGTACTGTACAGAACTGTAATAGCAAGAGAATGTTTTGAGAGGTGTTTTTCACTTTCGCTCCCCAGAGTACTCAGCATTACACAAGGAGGCTCCCTCTTTGGCAGTTATTCTCTCTGTGGGTGTTTTGCTAACAGCCTCCTTGGCAGCCATCTTTGTTATCCTCTGTCAGAAAAGACTGAGAAAAAAGAAAGCAAAGACAGAGATAAGACCAGGTGACAATGTTGAATTCATGTTTTTGACTTTTTTCATGTTACATTTTAAGTAGTCTTTGAAGATTCAAGATTCAAGCGTTTATTGTCAAATGTGTGCATGTGTGTGTGTTTGTTTAATAACTTGTAGTCCAGGAGGTAGTGTAGTGTAACAAGCGTAAAAAACATAAAAACAGAACATATGTACAGTAATGCAACAAGTGCAAATGAATATACTGTGCAATAGCGACTAAAAGACACTTAAGTCTCCTTAAAAAGTATGCATATATATGTATATGTATCTTACACATAGAAGTTTCATATAGAAGTGACATCAAAATATCCAGTGTAATACAGATGTGCATTTGTACAATTGCGCAATCTGTGCAACTGTGCAGTGTCTTGTCAGTAATGTTCTAGCAGCCATCTCATGGAAAAGAAGTATCAAGTGTGGGGGTGGGGCAGATTCTAGGACCACCTCTCTGATCAGATGCTTATGTCAGTGCAGGATGAGGTGTTATGGTGGTAGGAGGGCGGGCCATTGCATGTAAGGTGTTCAGAGCTCTGATGGCCTGGGGATAGAAACTGTTTCATAATCTGGTGATCCTTGATTTCACACTCTTGTATCATCTGCCAGATGGGAGAAGTGTGAAAAGATTGTGTTAAGGGTGTACATAACTCTTTACACAAACAAAAGACATTAAAGCAATAAATAACATATTTATTTCTTAAGGTTTCTGTTCATTGTCAAGCTGAAATGTTCAGAGAATTGGTGCATGAAAAATGTCTCTGAAAAATTGTTTATTGTGCGTAACGTTTCTTTAATCCTCTACTGATTTGTATGTACATTTGTATACATACACATACAGTGTACATATAAAATAATTACTTGACACACCTTATACTTCACAAACATTTATAATTCCTAATTTTTTTCCACCAGACATCATTGAAGAATATTATGACAAACACCTGGAGGAGCAACAGTGTGTGGTGCTAACCAACAGCACCCGTCCCCCTGAACTCTTGATTTGCTACTCAAGTAATGATGGTCCTGCCCATGTAAGAGTTGTCTTAAAATTGGCAACATTCCTGCAAAGGCACATGGCCACTCAGGTAGGGGACTGTGGACAGAAGCTTGCATTAACCATAAATACCCACAGTTCAGTGTGTGAGGTACACAGGGTATCAACATACTGGACTGGCATGTACATGATACCTCACATAGCCATGATCATGATTAGCTGAACCTGGTATGTTTTAGCACAGAAGTCACGAACTGTGCTGGACCTTACAGTTTTGGATTGGTTGAACATGGTATGTTTTAGCACGGAAGTCACAAACTGGGCTGGACCCTCCAGTTTTGGAATTAAAATTGATTACAAATACGCTCCCTGATACCTGAGACATTATTTTTAGATAGTTTTGAGATATTTTTCGATAGTTTTAGACATTCTGACCTCTGATTCCTATTTGCACCATTGTAAAGAAATCTGAACTAGTAAGTGTCACTACAATGAACCACACCACATCTAACCAGTCTGACTGACAATGGGCACTGAGCTGCCATGACTGTGGATAGGAACTATTGAAATATTGTGGCCCTTGCATTGCACAGTGGAATACTTTAATTTTGGACAGGAGGCAGTGAATTTTAATAAAGTGTAGAAAAAGGTAGATAAAAATGACATTTAAAGGTTTAGAGACACAATGCTTCCATATGCAATTTTACACCCAGACTCACGGGTAGCAACAACAACTTTGATAGTATACTTTAGTCATCAGTCTTCATTATAGCACCAACTTAGTTGAGACATAGCAATAGCGAGTAAACAATTCCTGTATGGATTATTGTGTGACTTTTTTTAATGCATGGGGCCCATGAGATCCTAGATATGCCACTACCAGGCACACTCTTATCTACAGCAGTGCAAATATGATACACTTTTGCGTAATGTTACTAATCTCCTATATTACTATGTATTAGATGAAATGCTATACATTATATTACAGAATTTAAATGTTTATTATTCCTGCATGGTTGTTTTGGTCATTGTCTGAGGTCTTACTCCAAGCAGTGCCAAGTGGACTTGTAAAGGTATCTTGTAGTCCTTGCAAATTTTAAAATTAGGAGAATTGTTTCAATTTATTTTTTATAGTAACCAGTGAGCTTATGATGAATTACCTACCCCTGTCTCTGATTAGGTACATTTGGACCTGTGGGATGCCTTGAACATCATAGAGGAGGGGGATCTAGGATGGTACTGCAAAAGAATGAAGGAGAGCGACTTTGTGATGGTCATCTGCTCTAGAGGTCTCAACCAGAAACAGCAGAGCCGAAGAAAGGAGGAAGAAGATGACCCAGCAGAAAACACCTCTCTAGCCATTATAGCCATAATTGCAGAGGAGATATGTCGAGCCAAAGCTCTGGGTCAAGATCTTTCCAAATACATGACTGCCATTTTTGAGTACTCAAAGCAATCAGACATTCCATCCATGTTAAATCTGGTCTCAAATTATATGCTCCCCGAAGACTTGCCGCTGCTCTTCTCTCATCTCCATGCAGTGGCTCTGCAGAAGCCTGGAGCTTACCTGCGAGTGGAGAACATCTCAGAGAATGAATACTTAAAACTCCCGGCTGGAGTGGCATTACACCTGGCTATTCAAGAGGCCAAGATTTTGATCACTGGTTAAGGTCAGATGGCAGAACTGGTCACCACATAAGCTAATTGCTCAAGACAGATAACACAACCAATACAAACTGCTCAGCCTGCAAAGTTTCTATTCAAAACTATGAAGGTAATGTTCTTTAAATGTATCTTAAAGAGATGGCATAAGGGACTGTTGCCAAGAGAATATTCTTGAGAGACACGCCTAAGGTTTAATGACAAATATCTTGCCAGCCAGACAGACGAGTTTTGGAGATGGATGCCTTTGTCCATCCAGAAAGTGTTGTAACCTCAACATATGTTTTTTTTTTTTTAAATATAGTCCAGTGTTTTCATTTAAATTAATATGAATATTAACCTTTGACCATGTAATAAAATGTCGGTATAGCACTTTGTAAGATGTATGTACCTTATGTACAGTGGAAGAAATAAGTATTTGATCCCCCCCACTGATTTTGAAAGTTTGTACTCTGACAAATAATTAAACAGTCTATGATTTTTATGGTAGCTTCATTTTAACAGTGAGAGATGGAATATCAAAAAGAAAATCTAGAAAATAACATTTAAATAAAAATTAATTTGCATTTCATTGAGGGAAATAAGTATTTGATCCCCTAAAAACCATGACTAATGTTGGCTCCCACAGACCACTGACACACCCTAATCTCAGTGAAGTTGTTACCTGCATGAGAGACACCTGTCCCAAATTGTCACCTGTATAAAAGGCCACCTGCCAACAGACTCAGTGACACTCCAACATCTCCACCATGGGCAAGACTAAAGAGCTGTCTAAAGATGTCAGGGACAAAATTGTTGACCTATATAAGGCTGGAATGGGCTACAAAGCCATAAGTAAGAAGCTGGATGAGAAGGTGACAACTGTTGGTGCAATTATTCGGAAGTGGAAGAAGTAAAACATTACTGTCAATCGACCTAGGCCTGGAGCTCCATGCAAGATATCACCTCGTGGAGTCTTATTAATCATGAGAAAGGCTAAAAATCAGCCAAGAACTACACAGGAGGAGCTGGTTAATGATCTCAAGGCAGCTGGGACCACAGTCTCCAAAAAAACCATTGGTAATACACTGAGACGTAATGGTTTAAAATCCTGCAGTGCACGCCAGGTTCCTCTGCTCAAGAAGGCTCACGTCCAGGCCCGCCTCAAGTTTGCCAATGAACATATTAATGACTCTGAGAGAGACTGGGAGAAGGTGCTGTGGTCAGATGAGACCAAAATTGAGCTCTTTGGCCTCAACTCAACTCGACGTGTTTGGAGGAAGAAAAATACAGAATATGACCCTAAGAACACCATCCCCACCGTCAAGCATGGTGGTGGAAGTATTATGTTTTGGGGGTGTTTTTCTTCTAAGGGCACAGGCCAACTTCACTGCATCAATGGGAAGATGAACGGGGCCATGTATCGCAAAATCCTGGGTGACAACCTCCTTGCCTCCGCCAGGGCACTGAAAATGGGTCGTGGATGGGTCTTCCAGCACGACAACGACCCAAAACATACAGCCAAGGAAACAAAGGAGTGGCTTCATAAGAAGCATATCAAGGTCATGGAATGGCCTAGCCAGTCTCCTGACCTCAATCCCATAGAAAATCTATGGAGAGAGCTGAAGCTTCGCGTTTCCAAATGCATGCCTAAAAACCTTAAGGATTTGGAGATGATCTGCAGAGAGGAGTGGGCCAAAATTACTCCTGAAGTGTGTGCAAACCTTATAAAAAACTACAAGAAACGTCTGACTGCTGTGCTTGCCAACAAGGGTTTTGCCACCAAGTATTAAATGATGTTTCACTAGGGGTCAAATACTTATTTCCTTCAATGAAATTCAAATTAATTTTTATTTCTCATTTCATGTAATTTTCTCAGTTTTTCTTTTGATATTCTATGTGTCAATTTTAAAATAAAGCTGGCATAAAATTATGAGACGTTTCATTTATTTTTTTGTATTAAAACTTTTAAAGTCAGTGGGGGATCAAATACTTATTTCCTCCACTGTACATATATATAAAATTCTTGCAGAACTGTTTTTGTGTCTTTGGAGTAGTTAATTCTGTCAAAAATTATTGGCACACTTGAAGAATACTATAAATAAAACCAAAGGAATGTGTGTGGTTGGGGAAAAAATGTTTCTTGATCTTGCTTTTAGTGTCTGGGAACTTTATTGTTGTCTATGACCATTTTTCACCGGGTATGAATATGAGGTAACACAGATAAAATCCCTTTGTCATCAGTCACCATGGGTAAAACCCAAGAGCTCTCAGCCCAAATGAGAAAAAAAAGTTGTTGAGCTGCACAGATGGCTACAATAGGTCAGCAGTTGAAATTACCAGTAAGCACAATCAAGGTCATAGTAAAGTTTTACAACTGCAAAGTTCAGTTGCACCTTGGGGTTTTAATGTTTTAAAATCAACAGTGAGACACCACCTCCGTGACCAGGAACTTTTGGAGTGCCTTTGACATTTGGAGTGCCAATATTTTTGGAATCTGCATTTTGTATTTTGTAATTGAAAATTTGTGTTACTAAAGGAAAGCTTTATTTTGTTCCATAAATCTTTTTGAAAATAAAAGCATGAGGCTCACCCATTTATTTAAACCCAATATTTCACTCATTGCATGTGTGGTTCTTTTTGTGTGTTAATTTCTCTGTTAATGTTTCCGGAGTTGACTGTATATGCGCTTCACATTTTAAATATTTTGCTAAGATAAGCCAAACAAATGCACGAATGCTACAAACCCAGGTCTGGCATGTTCTGTTGGAAGACAGTGTTTTAACAGATTTTATTAGGATGCAAAGAAACAAGTTTTATTTTCATTGGAGGGCACCAAATGGGCTGCTTTGTCCCTTTCTAATAAACATAAAACTGCTTTGCAAACTTGATCTGTCTAGGAACTGAGGAGCAAGACAGGCTTATTCAAACTGTTCAGAATTACAACAGAGACTATCAACCAATACAGTAACTTTTTTCTTCATGCACAAAATATATAAAAACATATAGTACTGTGTCAGACATCAACCTTTTATTTACATACAAGCCTCAACAACAAAAAATATAATATTATTTTTTTCAACATTTAATTTGTCCAACCTTTTATTACAGCTCCTATTTTTGTCAGTTTTTCAAAGAAATCTGCAGATATTTTTAAAATGTTTTGAACCCAAGTTCTCTTTTTTCACCACACCAATTTTTGTTCATTTTCCCCTTCTTTATGCAAGTGGACTATTTTATATCTAAACTCCTTGGAAATATCTCAAAAAATGAAAAACTTGTGCTTCATGGCCATTATGACTGGAAGTTTAATAAAAGAAAGGTTGTCTTCGACTTGCAAAGTACTGCATTGTGGCATCCGCCACGAACCATGCTGCTTTGAGAAGCTCAGGAGATGTGGCAATGCAAAGAGGCCCTTGAGAGGCACCATGCTTCCTGGATAAAAAAGGTACTGTTGCTGCTGTTCTACCTTCCTAACAATGTTATTATTTAGTTTAATATGTAACTATGTGTTGACTGTTTTATTCTGTTGTAGGCTAGTTAGTGTGGATTTAGTGTCTACAATGGGGTAAAAATGTATGGCTGTTGGTGACCTTCCCTGCTATTCTTGCTGTTATTCAGTAGCATTGGACTGGGTATTTCTTGTTGACTGTTTAAGTGCCTGTGCAATAAAAAAACATTTGCCCATATATGCATTGTTTTCTGTGTCTTCTTCTACACCGACACACTGGTGTCAGAAGTGGGATAGGGCCATCCAGTGGCACTTGAACAAACTCAAAGGCAGAAGGCGAAGAAGACAGAGCCCTGTGAAAAAAAGGTGAAGGAAGCAGCATGGTGAGGCTTGACAGCTGAGTCCACCTGCAGCACAGGGAAAGGGACAGTGCAACAGCTGCTGCTGGCAAAACAGTATGCAGCAAAAGAGACGGCATGGCAGCAGGGCCCTGCCAGAGGGATACGGCGTGCATTCGCCTGCTGTGTCACAATGGCAAAAATGCCTGGGAGCCATACTCTGTGCAGTTGCAATGGCTGCCCAGCATCGTGGCTGGACAGCAACCGTCACTACAATACATCTGTGCCTGGCCCTGGAGTGGAAAGTACTACAGGTGCTTGTGGACCTGCTGGCGGAGTAACACGAGCTGGTGGCGAAATGGAAGCCAGCCAGGAGGACCGGCTACTGCTGGCTGGGGCTTCGAGCGGCCCAGGGATTTTGTTTGGACTGTGTGGGTTGCCGGGATGACTGACCCTTGTAGGGATTGGGGTGGTCTTTGTGGTGTCCTCCATAGGCCGCACTTCTGTGATGAGCTGAGGAGGTGTGGCCAGGCAAAGTGGCTCTTAGCTCTTTTATCCAGGCAGAGATTACTGAATATATGATTGGTTTAAACTTTCATGTTCTTTAACGTGTATTATTGTTTGAAGTCTTGTGCCTCATTTTTGTGCATAATTTGGAAAGCTCTAACCGTTAAGCAGTACCAGTTTAATTGAAGCAGCGTAAACAGCCAGAAGCTGAATCTCCACTAGACATCCACTGGTTGTGTCTCAAATCTAAAATCTAAATCGTCTTTTTTGTGCCGATTGGTTTGAATTGCAATGAAAACTTGGATCCTCTAGATCGGTGAAGGTCACACGTCTCCTATTCTGTGGTGCACTGTGAACTTTAGGGAACGATCGTTTCAGTGCACTAGAATTTTGTTATTTCCATATTGGGATACCCTAGAAAATGGCTGAAGCCCTAGTTAGTTTACTACGCATGGTACAACGGGTCAATTTGAGACACACCCATACTCTTCTGACTCGGCGCAGTGGGGCGGGCACAATCACTCCTTGTCTGTTCTGCCGGATCTTGCTCTCGCACTACATAGCTACTGTTGCGCCATTAGCATCTGAATTCATTGGCAGTGAGGAATCATGGTGCTTGATCTTGACCTTTTTCGGAAGGACAAAGGTGGCGATCCAGAAATTGTGAGGGACACGCAAAGGAAAAGGTTTAAAGATGTCTCCCTTGTGGATAATCTCGTTCAAGCAGATACGGAATGGAGGAAGTGTGAGTGTCGCATTGCTAGCTAGCTAGCTATCTCGACTATCTGATGCCACGCAGCCACATGGCAAGCTCGAATCAGTTAGCCATCTAACGTTAGTAGTTGCAGCAGACATACGGCTTAATACAATAAACCGATCTGATTGTGTACTATGCGTAAAAAACTGTTTTCGAACAAACGATAACTACGTAGTTCATTATTACCTTGTGAGAAGTACCGGCTTAGCATGCTAACCGTTTAGCTCTTCTGACAGGTTGAACAATAAAAGACTTGTAGGCTACCAGCCATTTAGCCAGCTGTCATATTTTGCTCCTAAAATACGCATACTTCCACGGAACATGGCAATTTTTCGCGCTGTGTTATAATAAGAGATAAACAGAATCAAGCCACATAAGTTATTGAAAGCGCAGGAGTTGTCCCTGTATAATGTCGTCACCAGTCTCGGTGCAATCTGATGCAATCCTTTTAGCTGAATGAAACAGGCGGTGTAGTCTTTGCTGCTTGGCGAGACACATGATGTGAATCATGCAGTGGGAGTCAGACTGGTTTTGTCACTGTTCGTTTTGGCTATTAAGCTGTTCGATCCTCAGTGACAATTTTTAACTCCAGATATGAAACAGCTCCCTGCCTAAGGACATTTATCTTTTTAATTAAACAGGATGACGTTGTATTGTGTTGACAAAAGTTATCCAACCACTAACAACACTTTTTTATTTTATCAGTTTCAGAATTGATCAGTGTTTTTTCTTTTCTAGCACTGAGCTGTGCTAATAACCACTGGAGTAATTTGCTGCAGTTATTATAATCATAACAGGAAAATGGGTTTGTTCTTTTGTTGTTGTTTGACTAACGGCAAAGGAGTGCTGATTAAACTAATATCAGATTCCTCTTTTACTCTTTGTTACTGTCTAATAAAAATCAAAATCTGATATCAATATCAGCTAATATGAGATGTGTTTGGATCTGTAGAGGCAAGTTGATAGCCTTATATCTCTGTGTGTAAATTATTTACTGAATAAATCATATGGTATGATCATAATACTGTTAATCAGAGTTTTCCATCTCAGCAAGGCTTTTTCCTAACCTAATTCAAGTAAGTACCTCAAAAAATAAGTTTTATTATAAGGTGTCCTTTACAACAGAAAGAAATGGCAAAGAATATGTTTGGCTACTGTGAGGTAGAGGAAAGTGATATGAGGAATGACTGATAATTAGAGAAGAGAAAAGTCTTCAGTTTTGCAAGATGAAATGAAAGTGTGGTCAAACGGAGATTAGGGAAGGGACTGTACTGTTTGGGGGATATAGTGCTGCACAGCTGCCAAGGGAACTTGGGATGCTAGGGGAGCTGTAGAAATTCTGGAGCTTGGTGAGGTAAAGCAAGAACATTAAGGGCTTTGAATGAAGTTAAAAGAAGCTTGTACCTAATATGTGAAGTAACTTAATCATTATTGAGAATTGGGTGAATATGCACTATGAACAAACAACCAATAATTTATTGAATATCCTCTTCTTTTGCCAGGCCGCTTCACCGCTGATAATCTCAACAAGGCAAAGAATTTATGCAGCAAATCTATCGGTGAGAAAATGAAGGTAAGTAACAGTCATAGAGATATACTGCTGTGTAAAGAGATTTTGCAGTCGTAGTTGTTTTGTCTCTTTATTTGCATTCCAAACACTGTAAATTTGTTATAACGTATGCCCTAATATCTTGAATTAATTATTATTCCTGTTGGTGTTTTGTTTTTTGAGGATTTTTACAAAATAGCCTAAAATGTTTATTTTGTCAAAGAAATGAACACATTCTTTGTTAAATACTATTATAATTAATTATAATGGATGCAGATGTTCTAAAATAACATTCGTAATAGAGCATTCACATAATTCATTACCTTGTTTGACATGTTCAGGGGTAAAAGTTTATGCCAAGACTTGGCATTACAGCTGTCAACTTGTGCTACATAATACGCAGCAGTATCAAACAAACTTGTCTTAAAGTCTGTAGAAAGGGTGCTGGCACAGTTGTTTACGCAGTGCAGGCTTATGACGTATAACTTTTGACTGCTTTGGTTGGGCAGTGGAAACATGGGTTAGTGTTGCACTTGCATCTTATGCTTCATTACTTTATTTATGTTTCGTGTTATATATTTTTTTGTTTTTGTTATATTGTTGTGTATTTTTTTTAACTATTTGCTTTTGCCACAAGCAGAAGAAGGAGGTTGTTGGAGATGAAGAGACTCTCCCAGAGGAGGCCCAAAACCTGGAAACTCTCACAGCAGACACACTATCAGTAAGACTGATGTGTTTAATTGTGTAAATACACATTACACACCAACCTGTAACTACATTTTTTGTAGGCATTGCATTGAATGCTTTGACATATTGTGAATATATGTGTGGTCAACTGCTTTTTGTTTGTTTTTTAAACACAAATTTCACTGATAATACTAAGGTAACAGAAAGCTGAAAGTTTTTTTTTTTTTAATTTCTCTTATCTACCACACAGACAACAAAGACAGTCCCAAGAAGTTTGCAGTTATTTATATATAACACTTCTCTGTCCATTTGGTGCTCAGTCTCTTTACCTTTTGTTTGTGTTCTCTCTGGCAGGCACTGACAGTGACTCAGATTAAGAAGGTTCGGGTGTTGGTGGATGAAGCTATTCACAAATTAGATAGTGAGAGGTTGAAGTTGGAGGCAGAACGCTTTGAGTACCTGAGAGAGATAGGCAACCTCCTGCACCCCTCTGTTCCTATTAGCAATGATGAGGTAAGATTTAGCTAAGGGTCACATGTTAAATATAGCAAGCATGTGACTGTTAAATTTTGTTTCATTGTATAGTTTTCTGTTTCATTTTACCATTGAAATGGAATCAGAGAAAGACAATATTTGAAGTTAAGTGGAAATCAATTAGCTAAATGAATGCAGTGTGTACCAGGAGATATAGGAGGAGAAAACAGGTAATTCTAGTTCACTCTTCAAAGTGAGAGGTTACATTCTTTTACAATAGACACCAAGTTGTCTGGACTTGTTGAACCACCTGACTGGAATCAACTCTTAAATTTTGGAGAAGGGTTGGTTGCATTTTGCATATTTTTTCCCTTCATGGAATCACATTATTACAGAAATGTGAAAAGCCATGATTTAAGGATTTGACTGAAGTCTTCTTCTGCTATAAATATTACATACTCAGCAGGAAAGGGGAAGAGCTCTAGTTGATGACTTCATAATGTTTTGCTTTGACTTCTGTAATGCTCTTTTTATTGGCCTGCCCACCAAAACCGTTGCTAGTTTACAGTACATTTGAAATATGCATATCACTTCCACCCCTCACTTATACTGGTTACTAGTTACAGCTTGTATACAGTACAAAATCCTTTATTAAACTTATAAAGCCATTCATGATCTTGCCCCTTAATATCTGTCAGAGTTACTCCATATCTTTCATGGGTAGTTATTTGACTCTCTTTCATGAGTGACAGGTCTTTCAGTATAGTGGCACCAAAATTTTGGAACAAACTCCCACAGGGCCTTTGTAGCATCTCCTCCATCTCAGCTTTCAAGTCTTCATTAAAGTCATACCTTTTTTTTGCTTTCTGTCCATCTTTTTCTACTTTTGTCTAGCCAAGTGATGTTAAAATGCTGAGCCCTATTATAGAATTACAGTTTCTTGTTGCTTTATCTGAACTATGTTCTCATATTCCTTTTTTCTCCTCCTACATGTTCTATTATTGCTTTGTAAGCAAACCTTGAGCTTGAGAAAGACACTGTGAATAAAACTCATTCTGTGTTCAAAATATGGCTACACAATTATTAGACCTAAGAATTGAGATCATGATTATATAAACACATATATAAATAAATTGATTTATAAAGTGTAATTCCAAGAAAATAAATACATACAAATTAATTACATGAACACACAGAAGGTCTTAGCGTGGCAAGTTTGACAAACTTTGAATATTTGTTGAATACTTCATTGACTAATAAAGGATAGATCCTGTATCTGAGCATTAGGCTATTTTAGTTAAACTTTTAAACTGGGGTGGGAAGGAGTCTGCTGTTCAGCTGAATTGCTTTGAGTAGCGAATCATGATTACAATTTTAGTACAATTGTTTGTTCAGCTTTAGTACCAGTGAGACCCTCTCAACTCATTTGGAAAATAATCTGGTCAGTTATCATTGCAGAACTAATTGCTTGATTGTCATGAGTCTGTAGCATACTACCTAATTGTTTCATAGCATAGCAATAGTGTAGCAAGCTGAAGTCTCAGTCTTGTAGACCACACTTTGAGGTTAGATGGTTGCTGATCAGTGTCATTCAGTTGGGCTTCTCTCTCTCTCCAAGGATGCTGATAATAAGGTTGAGCGCACCTGGGGCGACTGCACAGTGCAGAAGAAGTACTCTCACGTGGACCTGGTTGTTATGGTTGATGGATATGAAGGAGAGAAAGGTGCTATTGTTGCTGGAAGCAGAGGATATTTCCTAAAGGTTGGTTTTGTGTTTGTAAGAAAAATGACAAATTCCAGCATAATTTTTTAAAATGTGTTAAACTTATATGTTACTGTTCTTTTTTTTGTGTACATGCTGTTGTGTTCACAAATGGCGCAAGTGGTCATATTCTGTTTCTTCATTAAGCAAAAACATGATTTAGATTTCCTATTAGTGGAATACCACAGTATTTAGGCTTGATTTTAGCTTATAGAATGCACTGCATATTTATTGTAGTGATGCAGGGACTTGTATGCTTTAAAGCCAAGTTTGTTTATGTTTAGGTAACATATAGAATGCCCACCAGTAGTTACCCTCTTAATTTATTTGGAAGAGGCTGTTCAAATCTATTGCTTTGAGTTAGGCTCTGCAAGAGATCACCACAAGGAACCATAAAAATGTTTCCTTGTGATCTCTTGCAGTTAAAAATGTTGACTTGCTCTTTATATGACTACAGTCACATACTGAAAATACTGTAAAGTGTAAACGTATCATTGTCCATGTTGGCACAAAATACAAAAAATACTTTTTGTTTACTGATTCTTTTTTATATGTGGTTTTCTTTAGGGACCTCTAGTTTTCCTGGAACAAGCTTTGATTAACTATGCCCTGCGGATCCTCTACAGCAAGAACTATACTCTTCTCTATACACCTTTCTTCATGCGGAAAGAGGTCATGCAGGAAGTTGCACAGCTCAGCCAATTTGATGAGGAGTTGTATAAGGTTTGCGGCTTAATTTTTGCTTTATTTGTTTTTTTCAGTGCAAAGCTTATTTTATTTTGGCCCGTTCTCTGCACATTATTTCCTTGCAGTGATATGGCACGCCAATTAGGTTATAATCTCATTTATTTGTATATTTTTGTAGAATACACAGGTGGTGATGGGTCCTGGTCATCAGTTTTGGGCTTGTGTACCTTTTTGCGTTAAATAATTTTGTTTTAGTCAGTCATGTTTGAATTTCTTTTTTTTAACTGCACCCCTTTAGGTGATTGGAAAGGGCAGTGAGAAGTCTGATGACACTTCAGTGGACGAGAAGTATTTGATTGCCACTTCTGAGCAGCCAATTGCAGCCTTTTTGAGAGATGAATGGCTGAAGCCGGAGGACCTCCCCGTCCGCTTTGCAGGCATCTCTACTTGCTTCAGACAGGAAGTGGGCTCCCATGGCCGCGACACCCGCGGCATCTTCAGGGTTCATCAGTTTGAGAAGGTGAGTTTAGCAAATAAGAAACTAGTTTGTTTTCCCTTTAAAGTCAGTGTCCTTCCTGAACTAGAATCAACATCTGCTTTTTCCATACTGTGCTGGTTTAGTCATCAGTCATCAGTCATCAACTTGCATGATATGTTATCATTATTTCATTTTTTTCTTGTGATCATAAAAATGTCTGTTAATTCCCCCTACCTAGATTGAGCAGTTTGTATATGCCTCACCTCATGATGGCAAGTCTTGGGAGATGTTTGATGAGATGATAGGAACAGCAGAGGAATTTTACCAGTCACTAGGAATTCCCTACCGCATCGTCAACATTGTCTCCGGTCAGTCTGCTTTTCACTCTTTATTCTACTCTTCATTTTAGGATGGCAAAGAGTTTTTTGCCATTTTAAGCATTATTTCTTTTGGAATTTTAGACTTTGGCTGTTTACACCTTGCATCAACATGTGATTGGAATACATTTGGATTTTGCTTGACAACATGAAAAGCTAGATGTAAACACACCCAGGAGCATTCAATAATGTCAGTCTTTACATCTCTCTGGGGTCCAAAAAATCCTCTGAACAGTAGTACCTCTAACCAAACGAGATCACAGTAGCTGTAAGACAAAGCCTTCTCTTCCTGTGTGGATGATTTATTGCCTGTTTTAAACAGTTTCTTCTGTTGTTTCATAGTTTATAATACACTGGTAGGAGAGGTGAGAAACAATGTTTACATTAGGTTACCAGAAATAAAAAGGAAACAATGTATGTGTTGGCGTGCCTTTTGTGAGGAAAAGTAAATCCAGACCTCGTCTTGTCACACTTGGGACGCGTTTCAGTGAGAAGTGTAAATGGATCTGGCCAAAGTATATTCAATTATGATCTGGAAAGGAAACTGTAAATGTTGTGGGTAAACAAGCTCTCAAAGTTTTCTGCCTTTGTTTCAGGGTGGAAGACTTACCTTATCTTTATTTACACACATCATGAGGTTAAACACTGTACATTATATTTTTCCCATCTTGGCAGTTGAGGCTGTGAAAATTATTGAAAGTCCATTATATATTTTTTGGCCTGTGTCTGGTAGGTGCTTTGAACCATGCGGCCAGTAAGAAGCTGGATCTGGAGGCCTGGTTCCCAGGCTCTCAGGCCTTTAGAGAGCTGGTCTCCTGCTCCAACTGCACAGACTACCAGGCTCGCCGTCTGCGGATCCGCTACGGCCAAACTAAGAAAATGATGGACAAAGTAAGATCTACAGCTAGTATTCCATTACCTCTGAGAGTAGTCTCAGTACAGATTGTTCAGTGTGATGTAATGGTCAATAATATATCTTTACAAGGGACTCATACAGAGTAATTTAAAATAATTGATAAAGACCATGTGTTTCTTGTTTGTAGGCTGAGTTTGTGCACATGCTTAATGCAACCATGTGTGCAACCACTCGTGTAATATGTGCCATCCTGGAAAACAACCAAACAGAAGAGGGCATTGTCATTCCAGAGCCGCTCAAGGAGTTCATGCCTCCAGGTGAGCATTGGTCGAGTTGCTTAAACTGCTGATGCAAATGGTAGCTGTTACACTGTATGGCATGGGCCAGTGGAATGCCTGTGTGATGGCTCTGAAGATAACGATTGTTAAGCAGGCCATCTTTAGAGGAGACGCTTGCAGACCTTCAAATGATTTGTCTTATTTTATTCAAGTGTTTAATAAAATAAGCTAAGTCTCTTTTTTCATTATATTAATAAATCTATACATATATCTGTACTTCAAAAAATTCAAATTGGAAAGTTTTGTGTAACTGATGTTGTGCTAGCATGTTAATTCAATTGTGGTTTTCTCATTTAGGCTTGACAGAAATGATCAAGTTTGTGAAGCCAGCTCCTATAGATCAAGAGCTGTCTAAAAAGCAGAAGAAACAACAGGAAGGAGGCAAAAAAAAGAGGCAGCAAGCAGGTGAAACTGACCTGCAGAACAAAGTAGAGAACATGTCCGTCAACGACTCTTAAATATACCCTTCTGCACACCCTGAGACATGTCTGTCAGACATGCCTGCAAGAACTCCATTTCATCTCATTATCCTCGTACCTGAATCACAGCCTGTCAATCCATGCATCATCTTCACACATCTACTTTGATGCCATTCATAGACCTCTGCAGTTCCTTTATTGGGGTTGAGAGCCAGCTTAAAGACCTGAGGTGTTAAATTCCTGTCTTTTAAATGTGTCCATGTTCAGTATCTGCCATTTTAATGCAGGTTGAAACTGAAAAGGAAAAGGAAAATGGAAGGCTGTATATAAAATTAAGGTTAGAATTCAGGATTCTTACAAAGGGAACATACATGGTAACAGTAATAGCAGAACAGTGTAACGTGTATCATTTTAAAACAATGCTGTGGTAGGCTGCATGAGTGCTTCTATTTAAGGGATCGCAAACTTGAGTGCGTAGTCAGAAGAAATCCAATTTGTCTCTTAGTCTAAATTAAAAGTTGTTCATGAAAATGAAGGAATGGAGCCTGAAATGAACTTTAATACATTTGGATAGCCTTGCACAAAACCACAACTTGTGATTTGGGTGGTAAATTGCACAAGAAAGCATGTCTGCCTTGGGTTAGCTGCCTTTGATAAGTCCCTCATATTCATCTTTGTCATGTCACTGTTTAAAAGCATCTACTTCTCACTCTTCTGTCAACTATGATGTAGGCCAATGTACAGTACTTGCTTGAGATACTTTGTAAGAGATATCAATATGATGGCATATAAGAATAAATGAAAATGGAAATAATGATGTTTCATTGAATTCTGTTTTACTTCATTTGTTTGGGATATCTGGTAGTTTGTGATTGAAAAAAGCAACAATTGCTACCAACTAGTCTTACACTACTACCAACCAAATCTTACACTAGACCTAACAAGGTCTTATCCAGACTTTGAATCCAGGTTTTGTTCCTGTATTTTAACTGTTGGTGTAACTGATTGGTCACCTAGGCTGTGCCCAAAACTGCACACTACTGTACTAAATACTTTGTCAAAATAGTACACCAACATTAGTAGTTCATTCATCTGTATAGAATAGAATGTGGTTTTGGACGAAGCCCTAGCATCCCCTAGACACAAGAAAGTTCTTCAAGGGTTCTTTAGTAAAGAAAATGGTTCGATATAGAACCATGAACACCCAAAGAACTCTTTGCATGATTAAACAGTTCTTTGCATCATTTTTCAGATCGATGGAGAATATACTTATGGTTCTGTATAGAACCTTTTTGAAAAGGGTTCTTCTATTGTTACAATGTCAAGCTAATAGAACAATTCTGACAATAGAAGAACCCTTTTTGGTGCTATATAAACCCTTTTTTAAAAGCTTACATATAGAACCATGAACAGCACATTCTTCATCAATCTAAAGGCCTCTTTCATGATGCAAAGAACCCTTTAAGCATGCAAAGCGTCATTTGGAGTGTTCATGGTGCTATATAGAACGATTTTCTTTACTAAAGAACTCTTGATAAACCATCTTTAAGAGTGTACCAGTGCAAAATCTAGGACTTGATTTGAAGACCTGTGCTCTACAAGCTCTTATTCTGGTTGGTAATTGTAAATTTAAAAAAGTCTAGAACATAAGTTATAATGATAACACCAACATTTTTCTACCTGAGAGAAGCTGCCTTACATTTGTGCAAAACACTGTTCCAGTAAGATTCATGTAGTGGTGTTAACTTCTTATTATCAGGGTTGTGAGGTAACTTAATATGACTAAGCGGTCAATAACAGATAGAAAATGCTTTTTTTTCTGGTGCATGCACTATAGAAGTGTAGAACGCTATTGTGAATTTATTGTTAAAAATTCTATACACACTCATTTTTCAAAAACAACTCCTATATTTTTTTGTTCTCAAAAAAGACCTTGTAATGTCCCTTGTAACACCTTAAATTACTCAAAGAACCCTTTAGCACTGAATACTCTTGTACACAGTACCACTTATAAAATTCCTTTTGTAAATCTTTAGCCCTTAGTTATTGTTAAATTTTGTCCCGTTGCATGTACAACAGAGAAAATGAATTTAGTCTATTAACATATGACCTGATATTCGTAAACACGACACATAAAGGCACAGTGGCAAAACATTATCCTAGCTGAGTAAACTGAAACAGGTTAAATAATTAACCAGCGCTCAAGAGTCGTTTTTTGTGCATCACTACACCCATCTGGCGGCTATATCATTAACTCTTTTGTCAGAACAGTGCTGTTTTACTCATCTGAAGAGTATGGAACAAAAAAACTGTTTTGCTGCTTTACATCGATTTTTTGGGTGCTGATGTATATTTAAAGAGTCAAAAAAACAGCCATACCATAGTAGGCAATAACACAATGAATACACGCAGAACTTCAACTCCCAGATACCTCTGCGCGGGCACAGTAGCTATATGCTCAGATTTAATTGGCGCTTGGCAGTCTCTCCAGCCAATCGTACTAAAGGATATTACCCGTGCTGCCTGCCTCTCAACGCTAAGACATAGGCTGTAAATGAGAGGTTGTGGAGTAGGGTATTCATAGAACGTTTTGTTCATGAGAAAATACAATTCCAGTGCAGGTTGCATTAACAAAGGGTTCTAAGAGAGGATAATTAAAGGTGATGGGATCCAGTGAGAGTACGACCAGGAAGGTGTCTTTCGGCCTAGATGAAGAGGACAGGGTGCGGATTCTGCGTGGAGTTAAGGTAAAGCTAGTTGCTAATTAGTCACGATGACAGCCCAAGTTTACTACGTCTAGTCAGGTGAGGATGAGGTACTGTTCGCTACTACCTTATGGAAATAAGCAGGAAAATTGACCATACAGCTGTGGTATTGGTATGTCATTAGTTTCTGCTGATGATGCATAATCGGATCGGTTGTCAAATTAAGCCGCTATGAACATCCAGGGCACTGGGTGTTGCTCGGTGGTTTTGCAATTGCCTCAACTCATTGTTGTGACTGACTGTTAGTGCCATGGTACATGGTACGGTGCAACTTTGAGTTTCAGAGAAAAGTAGTGTAGCGTCTGTGAGGACTGCGCTCGACTGACACGGAATGCCTCCTCACTGTGATCACTATGACAGGTCTGTAGTTCACTGGAGTTCCGAAGGGAGGACAGAATGATCTTTATCTAATAAATTGTCCACACTGTGCTGCCCTTTAAAGCGAAACAAAGCAAAAATAAATAAATAAATAAATAAAAATTAAAGCAAAAACTAAGACGGCTAGCTAGCTTGTTCGAGATAGAGGGCATATGTTTCAATGCTGTGTCAGGGGCTAAACTATGGTAAGCTATCTGACTGTAGACCTTGGCTATGTCTTATAATAATCTGTAACAAGGACACCTCCAGACTGATAGGCTATATACCCTACATGGTAAATAGTATGTGGACACCCCTCCTAATTACTGAATTCATGTGTATAAAATCAAACACAGCCATGCAATCTCCATAGGCAAACATTAGCAGTAGAATGGGTTGTACTGAATAGCTCAGAGACTTAAACTTTACACTTGGTAAGCTACTGGTATGATATAATTCCACCCATGCCACAAGTCAGTTTGTGAAACTTCTGACCTGCTAGATCTGTCCTGGCCAAGTGCTGTTTGGTCAGCCACAAAGACCACACTACTATGAGCTGCTGTATAGCATGTAAAAATCACCTATTCGCTGTATCATCACTGACTACCAGTTCCAAACTGCCTCTGGAAGCAACATCTGTACATGAACTGTGTGCGAGGAGCTTTATGAAATGGGTTTCCATGGCCGAGCAGCTTCACACAAGCTGAAGATCACTATGCTTTACTATCTGGCAGTCTGATAGATCAGTGTTTTTCAACCCTGACCCTGGATGCCCAATGCCCTCACATTTTAGTGCTTTCCTTGCTTCAATACGCTCTTTGGACTGAATAGACACAAATTCTCACAGACACACTGCAAAATCTTATGGAAAGCTTTCCCAGAAAAGTGGAGGCTGTAACCGTAAAAAAAGGAGGGCCAACTTCAGATTAATGCCCATGGTTTTGGAATGGGATGTCCAACAAGCTTATATAGGTGTGATGGTCAGCTGTCCACACACTTTTGGCCATATAGTGTATATTGACCTACATATCTCAGTTGCGATTAACAGTTGGGGGTAAAGTTAACAGCTCGAAAATGCAGTTCAAACTAAAGTTGTTTTTTGGTCTTCAAACTCATGGTGGTTCTCACTACTATGGTGGTTTACTGTTATCTAACATGCAGTGAATTTACTTCTTACACTACCATGTTTTTATCAGCTCTCAGAGGATGTCCTGGAGCGCATGAGGAATGCCAGTCAAACCCCTTTAAGCAATAAGGAAAACCCAGGTATGATATGACTTTTTGGTAAAATAAGATAAGATGGGTTATTACTAGGGGTGGGAATCTCTAGGCACCTCACGATTCGATTAGATTACGATTCACAGGGCTGCGATGCGATTATAAAACGATCATCGATGCATCTCGATGCATCTTATTTTTCTATACAGCATTTCTATTTTCTTACTGTTTGAGGAATTGGTAATGTTAAAGCAAAGTATTTGTAATGATCCATAAGGAATTTACTTCCAATATCTTTTATTAATAAGTCAAATGGAAGTGATGTGGCAAGTGAACTAGAAGGCTCTCATTCACTGCTCTTGATTGGAGTACATGAGACGCTGCTGCTACTCACCTTCGATAAAATGCGCAGTTACGGTGGAATAAGATCCAGTGGTAGTGGATGTCCACGCAGCGCGTTACAGCCGTCCTGCCCGTTTATTTCAGTGATTTTATCACTTCGGTTTTGGACTCATTGTAGAGACGGGAGGAGGGGGTGTGGTCGCTGTGTCAGTAAATCTTCGAGACGGGTCGTGTGCAACATAGCGAGAAAGCCCTGTTTCGCAACGACTCCGCAGACTGCAGGTCGCATAGCAACGATGCGTTATTCGCATTTATAAGCAGCGCAGTTGGTTTCCTGGTACGTTAAATCTGCAACGAGAGACTGTCACACACTAAAAAGTTGCGAAGATGAAATCAGTTTCTCTTTTGAATTTTCCTGTTCCACCTTAAATGGCGGCTCAGTCAGAATTTAAGGTGGAACGGAAAAATTCGAACAAAAAGCTGGAGAATAAGAAGCGACTTCAGCCTCATAAAACAGTCGAACGCTGAGACATTTTACAATAAGCTGCTCTAGTTTTGAAGAAAAGTTTCCTGAGAGAGATGGGAGGAAAGCAGCTAAAGCTTAAAGCAGAGCGAAGTAAATCTGTATTTTCGTTCATATTGTTTAGTCTATACTAGGACATTAACACATACTGAGACATGCTGGACATTAAATGCTATGGCTCCCAAGGTGGTTTGATTTTTGTTGAAAGGTCAAAATGGCTCTTCTTATCATTTGTGTTGTGACTCCTGATCTAACCTGGCTTTAATGCAGAGGTTGCCGGTCGGATTTCTTGCTCATCCATGTGTGTTTTTTCTATGTGCCACTACAGACTGTCCGGGCGCTGCACTTCCGCACTTCCAAGTTCCGCCTTTTGCGTTACGTCAACGTTACGTTATAAATTAAATATTTAGAAAATCGATTTTTGACATTTGTGAATCGATTCAGAATCGTTCACGTCCGCATCGCGATGCATCTAAGAATCGATTTTTTCCCACACCCCTAGTTACTACATTGGTCATTTCACAATTTCTACATAAAACAGTGGGGACTAAATAAAACAAATGGTGAATTTGATTTGAAAAAATAATTTTGTATTTTGTTTTAAAGGCCCGCAGGCAAAACCCCAAGCACCATCAGCACACACCCAGCCTTCAAAACCCCAGCAGAGTCCTCAGTTTGTATCAACGGCTTCTGACAACAGAGAGGAGCTAAAAGGAAGGTAGGATACTGCCTTTTCGTTGACCTTGGACGTTATTTTCTCCTCTCCTCAGGTTGGCATGCCATGAGCATAGATGAGACTCTGAAGAACCTAACAGATACTCAAAATTATTGAACCCCCTCTGTCTTTAAGACAGTTTGGTAATATAAAAAAATTTAATGAAAATCTAAGGCTTTAGTGAACAGTCAAGGAGGTATATTACTACATGTTCAAGCGAGTTTGAGAACATGAAGTTAAGTTTACTGCAAACAGTTCAAAAGAAAAATCATTCTCTCCAAAAATGTCCATTTGTAAAATTATTCAACCCCCTAAAGTCAGTATTTTGTGGCACAACCTTTATACTTTATAACCTCCAATAAAGGTTTCCAGTATATGCTCATAAGCTTCTGGCATTTCTCTATTGGAACCTTTGTCCATTCCTCATGTGCAAAAGTACTCATTAATGCTCCATGGTTTCTGTACTGCCACAGCTTTCTTTAAATCCCATCAAAGACTCTAGTGGAATTTAAACCCAGGGACTGAGATCCCTGAACTAAGCTTTAGTTGACTTGGACGTATGCTTGGGATCACTGTCCTGCTGGAAAGTCCAATGATTGACAAATTTACGCACGGAAGGGGTCATGGTAAAAAAAAAATGGCCTGGTATTTCAAAGAATCCATGATGTGTTCTTTTTGTCATAGGCCTTGCTTTTGTTACGCCAAATATACTGCGGATCCATGGGTCCAAACAGTTTCAATTTAGTTTAATCACTCCATAAGTCCTCCACAGTCCTGTCCAAATTCCTTCTTGCATATTCAGGTTGACTTTTTATGTCCTTTTTGGTCTTGAGTGGAGTGCGCTGAAGTGTTAAAGTTTTTTTAACTTTAAGTATCTGGGACATCTTGTAGCCATTGTTGTTTTGGTGCAATGAAATAATTTCTTCTTTTAGTTATTGTGAAAGGTTTTTTTTTTGCCATGTTTGCTGCTGAGCTTGAATACATGCATGGATGGGATTTATGTATGTATCACAGCTGAAGCAAATTGATTGTCATTATAGTTTCCAAAGGCTTTGTGTTGTAGCTCAATTTTGTAGCCTTATAGACTAGCAGTAATTTTAAAACCAGGAATATTAAATAGAGGTTGAGTAATTATGACATGATTCTATTAAGAAAATATCCTTTTACTCAGAAATATAACATCATACATTTACCCTGTCAATTTAAATAGGTCACTCAGCTGATACACAGGTAGTTTTGGGTCTTCATAAAAACTTGAATTTGTAAATCCTTTCAGTCTCAGCAGGGGTTGAATAATTTTGAGTGCAACTGTATATGTCTTGGGCCAGTGGAAGTCATCAAAGCCTTTTGAATAGGATGCAGATGCAAGGCTAACAGAGGCTCAATAGGATACAAATGAGTAAATACATTTTTTTCTAGGTCCACACATTCCAAAACTGAGCCCAAAAGAATTTTTGGTAATGAAAGGCTTACTCCAGAAGTGGGTGACATCTGTTCAGTCATGAGTAGTAAACTTTGTCAGACTGATTGCCCCTGCCAACAGTGTCTCAAAGCCAAGGATGCAACCAAGGTTGTCCTGTTTTGTAGGATCTGAGAAATGTGCCTTTCATTTCTGAGAAGTCAAAGGACGAAGGTGTCTCCAAGACGTTCAGTCAGTAACATTCCTCAGTAACAATCCTGTGTGCAGCCTGAAACTTTTTTTTATTGTGGGAGGGTCCATCACCTACAACTGCAGTGACCTATTCAATGTTCATCATTTCTTTATTATTATGCTGTGTTAAGGTTCAGCTTTGGCAGGTGGCCTGTTTTCTGCAACTTTACTTGTCTTTCACATTTCTTCTCCATCTTTTCTACAAAGGGGGCTTTAAGCTTCAGCAACAGTTTTCTGGTCACAGTAGCATCCCTGTGCTCTTAAAATCCTTACTGTTTTCCAACTGTTAAATGCAATTTCACTGTTGTGGCTATTTTAAGATTCTTCTATGCAGTTCTATGCTGTTTTGCTACCATGTTTTTTTTTTGTTTGTTTTTTTTGTTTTTTTTCCCCCCACCTCAAGATTTTGTGCTAGGTGTGGAGAGGCCCCTCCAGCTTTTGTTTTGGGGGACCGGTGACCCAATGCCCACACATAGTCAGCAAATGTATATATGCTGATTACGGAATACTATGCCACGTCGGATATAAATCATATAGATGTATTGAATAAGCAATACACATCTACACAAACATGCTTCATTTGATAGTTAACACTTTCTTTGTTGTTGTACAGTACTGTACAGAAGTCTTGGGCACCTAAACACATTGTTTACATTTATTTACACAATGTGCGATTTATCTGAGCATTAGGTGTGTTTTGGCTTGTAAAAACACTGTACATCAGTAGAACAAATGCCCATAAACAGTAATAACTCAGCAAACAGTAAACAGTAAAAATACAATAACAAATAACATTAATTTCTTATTTTCAAAAAGTAGATGATGTCTTGAGAGCTAGTTAGAAGAATAAAGTCTAGTTTCATATTTTTTCTGGACTTTCATATGGATTTAGTGAAGTACATAAAATCACTACTTTGTAATTGTAGTAATGTTATTTGTATTTGTATTCTAATATTTGTGTTTTTCTCAGAAAAAAAATGCTTACTGCCCAGATTGATAGCTTTTAAATTGTAATTTTCTCAGGTGCCTAAAGTTTTGTATATATGTTGCCTATCGCAGTGCTTTGACCACACAAATTTCAATTTTGTCATGTCAATAAAGCAAATATTTAGTTGACTTCAAAGGCATAATATTGCATTTACATGTGTGTAGGTATGAGCGGGAGCAGGCAATTATTCAAGAGGAGCTGGGCCGCATTGCACGAAAGGAGAGAGAGGCAGCACGACAGGACATAACCAGAGCTGTGCAGAGAGAGCGACTACAAACACTCCAAGAGTCGGAGAAGGCCAAGCAGCTGGTGAGTTACAGATCCATGCACCACACCAACTGTATGAACCCAAGTGAATAAATCAGTCTTTTACGCACGTAAGTGCTCGGTATCTTGAATGAAAAATATGAAATGCAATTGACAGCATAACGGCATGATAACAACATAGAAATTAACAAAGCAATCATGACAGTAAAATTTAATTTGTGGAGTTATTTATAATGGAGTCTGATTGTTGTGATGGCTCCCATCGCTTGTCTGTGGGCAAAAAGTCCCATCTAACCTTTATGACTGCCCAGATAGTAATCAGCTCATATAGTATCAGTTTTGGCTTTAGCAGTCACAGTGAATTTAAGGCTTGCATCTAATTAAATTCCTTGTGAAAGTATTCTAGATGTATTCCTTCAGCACCCTTCTTTAAAGTTCCTAATTTCCAAATTGTGGGCACATACCACACACACACACACATTTTCAAAACTGCTTATCCTTCTGGTAAAAGCTTGGTCTCTAAGTGCTCTTAAGTTTTTTTAATAAAATCTGTGAACAGCATTTTGGGCACACTGATATCTATTAAAATTGATCTGTGGCAAACTTATATTTGTTACTTTTACTGAACAGGACAAAGAAAGAAACAACAGGATAGTTAGCTGATATTTATTCTGTTTGCAATTGTACTGCTCTCTGTAGGCACAACAAATGTCACCAAAACCCTTTGATTTTTTTTTTGTTTGGTTGGAAAAGACCAAAAGGTTACTAATACCATAAATATCAACAATGTTAGCTTGTAAAGTTAATACCCTATGATAATAGATCTTAGGATATTAACTTTGAGATAACATTATTGAGATTAATGGAACTAGTTGTTTGAATGCATGCCTGATTTTTGATCATGCCCTATACGACTGTGAGTGGCTAGAACAAAGGTCTGAATCCACTGTAAACCGTTTTCAGCAAACTTATACCAAGTTATTGTAAGAATAAACATTGCATTTAAATTAACATTTTTCAATGTATTTTACACACCGTGTAACATGATGTTTTTCTAGTTTTTTAAAAACCATTTTGGTGATCCATAATTTGTTTTATTTTTTCCCTCCTATATTTTCTTGCATTTCATAAAATGTATACCATGGAAGTTGTTGATATTGTTATTTTATTATTTAATATTCCAAATAATAATTTATTAGACCATAATATCCAGACCTTTAGAATATTCACTGCTATCACCATCAAAATCTGTGACTAATATTTACGTGTTTAATATTACCTGTGTGTATATATAAATTGAGAATGACTGTGCTGAGTGTAACTATTTAGTTTACAGTAGCTTCAAAACCTTTGTCGCAGTTTGTCTTGCATTGTTTAAACAACTAGCAATATATATTGCTATTGGTTGTGCACATAGTTGCTTCAACGACAACTTAACAAAAAAGCAGATAAGGAAGGAAAAAACAAAAGAGCAGAAAACTAATAACTTGTAGTCTCATCTTCCTGAATTCCCAGGTTGAATAATTTGCTGAAAAAAGGCCCTTAGGTGAGTGCCTGGTCAGTCCTGTTATGGGGACATGCACGACTCGTGACGCGAATGAAATTGCCACTTAGATTTGTGCTTTGTAATTTTTCTCCTCTCTCCTGTTCATTCCTTTCTAGTACTTGATGGATTGAATCCCTTCATTCTAAGGGGGGCACCTTATCTAGTCTGTAACAGTTGCCCCTTTACAGTTTTTTGGGGCTGTATGTTTGGATGTGTGTGTGTGTGTGTGTATGTATGTATGTATGTATGTATGTATGTGTGTTTGCGTGCACTTGCATTCCCCCTTTATAATAATTGTACTTTTAAAAGATTAATACAGATAAAAGAGACAATATTTTCATTTGTGTTCCTAGTGGTTAAGATTAGGGTTAGGGTTTTTTAGTTAATATTAGAAGAGTCAGTATATGTCCTCAAAAGTCTAGCAAAACTTGGTCTGTGTGTTTCTGTGATTGTGTGGGTGAAAGTAGGGAGCTCATATTGACCTTGGTAATGTTTGCTAGCCAAGACATGACCATATTTTGGACGCTAAGCAGAAAGAGTGACAAGAAAGTGTGTTAGAGATCTGATAGCAGGCATCTGATGTCAGCAGAAAATGCAAATATTGGAGGGGAAAACAATGACCCTGTAGCAAATCTTGTCTGAAATAGCAAACATTGACCTTGTGTGATGTAATTTTGTTAGCTGTGTATTTCTTGGGGTTACACTGTTTGAGTAGTTTGGGCTTGATAGCCTACTTTCAGATGCATAAAGTGTTTCAATAAAAAATAGCTAATATTAAAGCTTTTAGTAGTTTTTAAAGAACCTATATCCTACATTATTTTTGTTTTAAAATTTTCCCCTCAGGTCCATTTATAACATTTGTGTAGTTTTATGTATCAAAAACAGTCATTAATTTTTACACGACCATTTTTCAGACTCTCTGTCCCTTAGAATTAAACAGGCCGTTTCTTGTTACTGTGTCTTTAAGACTGGTATTTGTAAATGACATGTTCTCACTGGATCTCCTGTATTGTGCCTTTTTCAAAAAGCAGTTTGGGCTCAAACACTCTTTATAATTTCAGAGTGAATAGGCAGAGCGAAACTGCTGAAGGCTGAATAGGTGAATATGTGTAAATATGATTGTTTGCATTATATCACAAAAATACTAAATCCAAAACCAGCTTTTCGAACCTTATTTTTCTATACATGCCCTGCATGATTGGGGAATGACTGGAACTAACAGTGTTTACAATGTACATCAAGCTCATCTCCAAAAATAAACAATTGTCATTTTTATTTATTCTGATATTAGTGGTTTTCTGATCAAAAAGACACTTAACTGCCCATTTAAACAGCTTTTTAAATAGAATTTATTCAGGCTCCTAAAACTTGTTTGTATGTATGTGTTTCTCTGTATGTGTTTGTATGTCTGTAACATGTCGGTGTATTACGACCCCACATTTTGTCTAGAGTACGTGGGATCAGTAACATGTGGCATTAAAATACTGAACTGGTGAGAATTGATTAGAAGTGTGAGGAACAGACCAAAATGAGCTTTTGAAGCCATTTTTATTAAAACAAACCTCAATAAAACCAGAGTGCTGTGATACCTAGTACCATACTGGAAGAATCAAACTGGACGGCACCAAAGAAAAGAACAAATCAAAATCGAACCATGCTTGCCTACCCTGAAACAAAAAGTATTTAGCTAATCTAATAAAATAGAAACCAAAGCTAACTACTCTAAACTTCCCTTGCCAGTAACCAAAAGTACCAAAATGTGGCGGTGCCTGCCCTCTGACCTAGGGAGCTAGACAGAGTAGACATCTACGTGGTGCAAATGAATAGGCGCGCCCCTCTTACCTGTTTGAAACTCCAGGTGGTACAAACAATCTCTTGTAAAACAAAGTAAAAGCGTGCAGGTAAAATACCACAGCTAAAGTACTTCCTCTAACATAAAAGACCATCTTACAAACCAAGTTAAAAGAAGCACTGGTAAAATATCTAAAACAAAGCACACTCCCAACACAAGAGATTAAAAACACAAACTAAAACAGCACATGTAATCAGTCCTCTCTCTTCGGCCATCTTGAAGGCCTCTTTTAAAACATAGGCTCCTCCCCCAACTGCACCAACCAGGCCTCTGATTGGTTCCAGAGCAGGTACCTCTATGAAGGAAGAGACCGAGAGAGAGAGAGAGAGAGAGAGAGAGAGAGAGGCACAAACACACAAAAAAAAACGATATACGTGCTTACACGTAACAGTGCCCCCCCCAATTTTGATATTCTTCTTGTTAATTGGATTCATAAATAAAATGCCTTGACCCAACTTCATTCATCACCATTTTTTTGCATGACAGTAGCACTTAATTCAGATCGGTCCTTCCTTTGGTAGGAGCAAAAACAATATCAAGGTAGTTTATACGCTGCACACCAATGAGCCAAAACATTACCACTTACAGATGAAGCGAATAATGTTGATTATCTTGTAACAGCGGTGCATATCAAGACCTGGTATATATTAGACAGTAAGCAAAAAATTGGTTTTCAGTATCAAAGTGTTGGATGTCTACCGCCATAAGCGCCTAGGCATGCGAGTGTTGGAACTGGACCTTGGAGCAATGGAAGAAGGTCACCTGGTCTGATGAGTTCTGTTGACACAAGTGTGATGTGATGGCACCAAGATGCACTGTGGGAAGAAGACAAGCTGGCAGAGGGAGTGTAAAGCTCTGGGCAGTGTTCTGCTGGAAAACCCTTGGTCCGGGCATGTGGATTTGACATGAGCTGCCTACCTAAACATCACTGTCGACCAGGTACATCCCTTCATAGCAGGTATTCTGAATGCCAGTGGCCTTTTTCAGTAGGATAATGTGCCCTGCCACACTACCCATGTTGTTCATGAATGCTTTGAGGACCATGACGAAGAGCTCAAGGCAAGGCAAGGCATACACTGCTGTCATGCACATTGCTTTACAAATGAGAAAATACAGAGTCATTTAAAAAGTAAAGTCACAGAAAATAGAAATTACAACATGACTAAAACATGATTAAAACAATAGATTTGAAAGCAAAAAACATGAAATTAAACATAAAATTTTAAATTAAATTGGGAAAATTAAAAATTTTAAATTATAGGTGTTGCTTTGGCCTCCAAATTCCCCAGATGTCAGTGCGGTCAAGTATCTGTGGGATGTGCTGGAATAAGAAGTCTGATCCATGATGACTTAAAGAATCTGCTGCTAATGCATTAGTCTACCAGAGGGCACCTTCAGACGTCGGTAGAGTCCGTGCCTTGGTGGGTCAGAGCTGTTTTGGTGGCAAATGGCTGACCTCCGACATATGTTTTGGCTCATCGGTGTATACTCACTTGTTTTTCTGCATGAGAAATGTCCTGAACTGTTGTAAGTGTTGTGTCCAAATGTAATGCCAGAATTCTCTTTGGAACTTGCTATATTTTTTGAAGGGAGTGCAGCTTGGCTTGAAAATTGCTTTTGACTCCAGGATTCCCCTAAGATTCA